AAACCTTTAAGCTGCTACTGGACTTTATATCCAAAAGTACCTAACAAAGAAACGGATGTCATAGTATTGAAATTGATGATCTTGTTCTTCCCCCAACACATATATGGTCAGTCATTCGACAACTACCTGCTAATTATTTTTATTATATACACGTATCTTTAAATAAATATCACGTTATCATAATTGGGGAGCTTGGACTTCCAAATCTCCCGCGCCTAAAACTTCTGTTGCTGTTTTAGGAGATTTACATGATTGCAATCGTGTTAAAGGAATGGCCTTGAATCCATGACCTTTAAAAAACTCGACAAGAACAAAATGCAACTGAATCTTTAATCAAACAAATTCCAAGATTATCAAGACCTGGATTACTTTCATGGGTAATTATCATCATCATTATCATCACCATTATTATTATCATTGGTATAGTCAATAAATCAACTTATTCATTTTTATTACTTAATAATAATCAATATTATTAGCTAGAAAATTTTCAACGCCTGTAACTCATAACGATGATGATTTAAATGCTAAAGCTGATGTTAAAATGAGTGGATATGAATTTGCTGCAAATAAAATGTTGAGCGTTAATTTCTTTAGTTTCTCTAATTAGAAAGAGTTGGCAAAATGTTAAACGTTTATATATTAAATCCTCGATGGGTAAGCGTCAACTAACGTTTATATTAACAATGTGAATGTCACTATACAGTACATTGATCCGCTCTCTTACCAAAACCATCATTTTTAGTTTTATTATTAAAAGTAGTTGTTATTATTGTATTAGCATGTATCATTGTATGGTATTTATTGGGAGCTAGAACGTTTACTCTAAATTTTTGTTTATATAGTGCAAGTCGCTTAGTCATTGACAGCAGCAATTTAAATCCTCTCAATCACGTGACTTCGGTGTGCAGAGATTAATATTAATGACAGCCCATTGTTCTTGGAAATTTTCAAATTTTCGATTCGTTCATTTAATTGTGCAACTTTCCTTTATGGTGAAGAGCAATAATAATAGAATGAAGGTTATGATCACGTGCTTCGGGATTTGTATAAATGAGATTAGAGATATTATTTTGATATTAAAAAATAAATGTTTTTGATAAATCTTTACAAATATCATCTTACACGCAGCCAATTTTAACACAAGCCATAACTGCAGGTGAGAGAATCCACGGTGATTAATGACAATGATATAACGACAATTATTATAATTATGGATAATAATAAACAAACAAATTAGTGAAATTTTATAAATTTGGGTGAAATAGGATTTTTATGTGGCCTGGGAAATACAATAGCTCAACATATTGTTGAAAATCGAGGAATCGGAGGATTTGGTATTTTGATAGCTGTATTTATTATTATTATTATTATTATTTCATGTACAGTCAACCCTTGTTTCAACGAATTTTGATTCTGTCCCCCTTTTTTTATGAATTATAAATTTTTGTTTCAACGAATTTTATATATAAATCGTGTTACAACGACAACGAATTTTTAGTAGGGATCTTGGAATATAAGAACTAGTCGCGTTTCATCGAGTTAATGTGACAATAGATCAACATGTAAAATTAAATCATACGATAAAAAATTAAATCATACGATATTTAAATTTTATCGGGCAAGCAGCACTATTAAGCTATTTTTGGTTGCTTCGTTATTTTAGGCGCAAAATGGCGTCAATATAATCGATATAAGATATAATTAAATCATATAATTAAACTTTAATAATCAGTGACGTTGAAAGAATAACTTAATAGTGATTGCCCAATATCTTATATATAAAAAATTAAACATGTGATTTTTAAAAAAACACGTATTCTGAATCATGCAATTATTTTAATTTAAAGATGTAATAAAATTTTTACTTTTGTGATTTTATCAAAGATGTATATAGGAACTTATGATTTACTTTTATTTGATGTTATAATAAAACTATAAAACTTATGATTATTTTAAAAAAACATGTACAATTATGATACTGAAAGGTGTGATGTTTAATTGAAAATTTAATCAATGAATTATCATTTACCTCTCTATTAGAAGCAGAAGAATATATTACAATTGATAATGAAGGAATAAGTAATAGTAGCGAAATGATAACTGACAAAGAAATTATTGCTTTTTTCAAGCCAATTGAAAGAGGAATTTGCCATTAAAAGTAATACAGCGTCTAATGTTTCAATAAAACATGCTGTAAATGCCCTTGAGACTGTTTACAATTTTCTACAACAAGGTGATATAGAAATAGACTATATTGAATCTAAATCTTTTAAATCATTAAAAAGAAAAATAACATTATTAAATATTCAAAAACAAAAACAAAGTAGTATTACAACATATTTCAATAAATAATAAATAATTATTATATATTTTCTAATTATATTTTATTTTATCTGTATAATTAAAATACAATTTGAATAAACGTTATCATTTATTATGAAAACTTTTTTCTGACGATCATTGCCACTTTTGTTTTAGCGAATTTTTGTAACAACGAATTTAGTGACTGGTCCTATGGATTCGTTGAAACGAGGGTAGACTGTACTATCTCTAACAATGAATACATACTAATTCCGTGCATAATAATTTCCTCTTATTTTATATTTGTCTCTATTTTTATTATTATTTTTTATTTTTTTCTTTTAGTAAGGTAATATTTAATAAATTTGGTTTGGGAAAACATACCTGACTTGAGTAGGGAGATATTGTTTAGTATTGGTTAGCAAGGAATTGTTTAACAACAGCGAAAGATAGTTTGAGAGTAAAGCGTAAATAAATATTGGAAGAAATTGTATTATTGTATTAGTATAAACATTAAATAAATACATCATTGTCATTGAAACTCAGAATGATCTCATAGATTTTTTCCATTTCACCTTGCCCATTAAATATAAAAAAAATAAATATATAAATTAATATATATATATATATATATACAAATATTATTTCGAGTAATTCTTACATGTAAATATAGATAAAAGCGAAGTTGGAGCATATTCGTTGGTAAGCAACTGTCTGAATCAAAAGTATATTCTATAAGTTTTATTCTATATATTCTTATGTTACTATTAATAAAAATTAGTTAACAAAAACTTACTGTATTCTCTGAAATATAAGCACCAGTATGAATTTGCAATGAAAAAACAAAAAAAAATAGAAAGTAAAATATAAGCACCACATATATTTCAAATTATTTTTTATTTGATTTTATTTTTGTATAATAAATAAAAAATAAGAAATTTTTTTATTTTGACTATTCTTTTCCAGAATCACCAGACTCCTCTTCTAATCAAAAGATACCTCCAAAGTAAAGGCAAAAAAAAACAATAAAAAGTTGATATTGGAAGAAAGCGATTGAAAACAGCAACAAGTCCAAGCGAAAACTAATTACACTCCGTGGCTAATTGGCGGTGGCATCCATATAAATGTAACACAAATTATCTGAAATAAAATGTCTTGAATATAAGCACCGCCCACAGTTTTGTTGACCAAAATGTGTCAAAATGGTGGTGCTTATATTCCAGAGAATATGGTACTCTTTTTTAAAGTTAATCAAACTAATATATTTGAGATCCAGAAGTTACTGAGGACCTTAGTTAATAGTTAATCTGAAATTGGAAGCTTTATACTATCTATTCCTCTTATAGTTTGTAAAAAACTTCATGTTTCATGTGACTTTACAGAAAAATTCTGTTTGTAATTTTAAACCATATTCTAAATATAAATAAATAAATACTCACATTTTAATAATCACCAAAGAGCTTGAATTAATCACCCATATTCCTAAAAGTAAATGAGAGCTAAAGAGGAAAATCTTGTAACTTTTTTACAAAAATTCTTATTAATATTAATAATTTAAAAAATCGGGAATGAATTGGCGGAACCAATTAAAATTATGCAGATCATTCTAGAATCAATTTCCATCTATGATAAAAACCCTGAGTGTTATGTGTACATATTTGTCGATCAAATAGATCAAATAACAATTCCTTTTTTAAAAAAAAATGTCAAAGAAGAAAACAAAATGAATTGGTTGAAAGAGAGTAAGTGTTATCATAAGAATGGTGGTTGTTGCCACTCTAGTTTTTTTAAAAAAGCAATGCCAAAAGAAAAAAGAAAACAAAGTCAAGAAAAATAAAGAACAAAATGAGTGAGTGTTTTTAAAAGAATGGTGGTGATGATTGTTGCCACTCTTTGTCACTTTAGTTAGTCATTAAAAATAATTTGAAACATAATTATTATATATTTGGAGACTAAACTTTGAATTCTTTATAATTTTTTAGACCACTTAAAGAATTAAATGATAATGAAGAGGTATTGTTATATAAATTGATGTCAATGTTCAATAATGGTTAATATTGTGAATATTATTAATTCAACATAAAATTGGTTTTGTTTGCATACCAGAAAGAAAGAATAAATGAGATCACAAAATTAAAAAAACGAATAAAAGAATCAGAAGGTAAAGATCTTGTGACATAAATGTCAGTTTATTTTTTGTTTATTCCACCTCACTTATCTATTTATGTATTAAGAGAATTTATATACTAACTGAACTAAGCTTTTTATTTTATTTTATTTTTTTCTATCAGTCCATTATTTTTAAATTAAACTTGTGATGTTATTCATCTACATGACATCTTTCACCTATTTTACCTGGATTATTAGGTAGATTGATTTTACAATAAATATTGTATTTTTTAAAGTTTGTCTTTTATTCTGTCTTTCAACATTACTAATTTTATTTTCATTATTTTCTACTGATTTGCTATATATTTCAAGAAGAAAAAAAAAAATAAAAAAGTGAAAAATCAGCAGGGTTGGCAAATTGACTAGAACTGATGGACTTTTGGACTGGCCCATTGCCATTAATAAAACACTAAATATGGTTAAAGTGTTATGCTAATGGACCACCAATAGACCATCAATGGACTGCACATTTGCCAACCCTGACTATCAGTGATTATGTTGATGAAAATGAAAATTTTATTAAACAAATGAACAAACCATCAACAAAGGCATCATCATTAGTAGCAACTGTAAAAGGGATTAGTGATTGTATAAAAAAGATTACACAAAACCATATCTGATACAACAAATATTGGACCTCCTGTAGTATTATATAATCATGCTTTTCAAAATTTGTTTTAGAATCTAGAGATACCACAAAATCAATTGTTACCGGAATTAAATTTGGATGCTCTTCCGGCTGAAATTAACTAATTCCGAAATTTTTAATTTTTATTATTCTATTTTATTTATTTCTATTTTTGTATAATCTTATTTTATTAATTTTATTCGTGTTACATCTACTTTTGTAATACGTTTTATTTTTATTATTTGTATAACGGATTAATTTATTTAGAAAATTCTTTATCATCATAACTTGATGACGTCTGTAACTTTTTTACTTATTATTATTACTATATTCCATGACAAATAAGAATGACACCAGTTTTCTATAAAAAATAAAGTCATGATAAATTAACTTGATGATGAAATGAGATTTATCATAATGATGATGATGATTTTATTACTTTGGTTGTACGAATGTATAATGGTAAATATACATCCAAGTAGAACTCCGATTCTAATATATGCAAATCCCAAGAAAGGGTTTTTGCCACTGAGAAATGATACTGTAGAAATTACAAATGATTTTGTTCCACCATGTTTAGTAACTGGAAATTCTTTTTTTTTAAAAAAAAAAATGTTTGTAAATAAATTCTTGCTATATTCAATTATGACTTCACAGGATCCAACTTTCAATGAATCCCACTTCGTTTTTACCATAAAGTTTTCTAAAATTAGGTAAACTGGTTGTTTGCATCCAAACTTGAAAAAATAAAAAAACTTCAAAGAATGTGATGGTATTTGGAATCTGATGTGTGTGTATTAATATTGATGACCATCCCCTTTTCAATTGAGAGAACTAGTGAACTTATTCCTAACAGCTTTTATGTATTATCAGACTTGCTTGTAGTAGATACCTCCAGTCTCCCAACATCTATCACCTAGAACCAGTGTTAGCAATTAAAAAAATGAAGATTTTATCAAGATAGCAGAATGTAAAAACAATTCTATTTGGTTATGATGAATAGTAGTTATAACCTTAGCATCTGGTATTATATTTATTACTATTTATTATTTTGCTAAAAGATTAAAAAAAATAAATCAATATTGTAACAAGATTATTTTCCTACTAAGGATTTTTGCTTTTTGTTGGGTAATAGTACACTTTCATTTTGCTTTCTTTTCTTAATTTTTATTATTTTTCTTTCTTTTTGGTAAATTTCATAGGTAATATTTTCTTTTTTTAGATAAGCTTTGAGTGTCTAAGTATCATTTATTTTAAAAATGTAAGGAGTAATTTTTTCACCTTGTTCTTTCTTCGAATGATACTATAATTCTTGGGTTCCATGGTAGACCTAATTTAAATTAACTTCATATTATTATTATTTTTATATGGGAGTAGTTCTATATATCATTTAAGATAACAAATGTGATATTATCCTTTAAACGGTTTCTTGGTTATTGATAGTTGAAATTTTTTTCTGTTATAAAAAACTTTTTCTGAAGGTATCACTTCCTAATATGAAAATGATCTTTGGAATTCAGCTGATTGACCTGTGAATAAAAATTCGGTTGTTGTCCTTGTAGTTTTCGTAAAATCTTCCTTAAAAGTTGGTCGATTGACTATTTTTACTTTGCAGATCATTAAATTGACAAGGTGAAATTATTTTATGTTTCTGCGTCAATTTGAAATTCACGCGTGAAATTCAAATTAGCCAATCAGAATTTTGTATTCAACATCCACCCCAAAATTTAATTGGTAAATTTCAAATTGACACAAATTTGATTTTCACGTATATACAACATTACCATTAAAGATACTTTGATCGTTTAAGAGATAAAACTGATCACATTATAATTGTGATGATAATTAAATTTTGGTCCCTGAAAGCTTTGGTAATACCAATGTTCATCTTTTTCTGGTTTTTATTGCAGAGTGCCCCATATAATAGTACCAGTTATTTATTTAGGACATGTCCCTTATTAATATTATTGGTTGCGATCACATTCCCGGTCTATATAAAAGTGGATTATGCCGATCATTACTTAAACATTATAATTAATATTTTTTTTTCAAAATGATCCAAACAAACACAGAAGAGCATCCAGATTGATTTTATAAGCAACAAATAAAAAGGAAAGCTCGTAAAGAGTCGGATTTTTACACCATTTTAATCTTTTTGATGAAGAGTGTTTGAAAAGTATGAATGTGTTTCTATCCAAGAAAGAGATAAAATAATTAATATCTTGATGATGCTTGTTTAAAGGAGTATGAACTTAATTCTATTCAAGAAGATAATCTTTGTAATAATGGCAATAATTATGCGAATGGAAATGTAAAAGGAATGAATGTAAATAACAACAATATTATTGGTTATGATTATGATTTTGATGATATACCAACAACCTCGATAGAAAAATAAAATCTTTTTGATTCTTTCAAGTATAACTTATTATTTAAATTTAATAATAAAATTTAATAATGATAATATCTATAATTTCACTGAAAGGATTTGCACAGTAACATGTTTTACAAATTTTAATTTTTATAATAATATATTTATTTAATCTATTATTAAGAAATGAGTATAAATGTACCTGAAAAAACAATCCTAGCAACATATAGAGAATACTATTCAATAACAAGAGATTTATTGAAATTAATTTATGACAAGAATAATTTAAAAAATTCAAAGATATTATTAGAGTTGGAAAATGAAAGGTATCTTCAATTCAATTAATATATTAATATATTTTAATTCATGAGACATTCATTTATCATTAGCATTAAAAAATATTGGCAACTATTTAGGAAAATATTGATAAAATTGATGCTAATCATCAATCATCATCATCATCACCATCAGTATCAAAATTTTCTTGTTCTTTTTCCTCACCAGCACCACCATTGCTGATACCATCAATTTCATCTCCTTATTTACCAGAGCCATCCATATCAATGTCTTCTTGTTTTTTTTCCTCGCCAGCACCATCATCATCCTACTCACCACCAGAGCCAGAACTATCAGTTTCGTCATCTTTTTATTCACCACCAGAACAGTCAACATTAACATCATCTTGTTTTTTTTTTGCGAACCACTTATAATTATGAATGGTCAACAGAAGTTGAAAATGTTTTGCATAATATATTCGGATTAGAAAGGTTTAGAAGGAACCAGTTGGAAGCCATTAACAAAACACTTAATGGAAAAGACATCTTTGTGCTGATGCCAACTGGCAGAGGGAAAAGTATATGTTACCAGTTGCCCGCAATGGTGGAAACTGGAAAAACAAAAGGGACAACGATTGTAATTTCCCCATTGCTTTCGCTAATTATAGATCAAGTTTATAATTTGAACAGGCATGATATATCGACCTTATGTTTGTATGGTGAACAAGAAGCTAATCAAAGACAAAATGTATTTACTGAACTTGAAAAATATAAACCAAGTTGCAAAATTTTTTATTTAACTCCTGAGATGTTAAATAGAAGTACTGCAGTTGCATCAGCAATAAAAAGGTTGTACGATAGAAAACAATTGGCAAGATTCGTTATTGATGAGGCTCATTGTGTTAGCCAATGGGGTCATGATTTTAGACCAGATTATAAAGAGTTGTGCAATCTAAAAAAAATATATAACGATATACCTATTATCGCTTTAACTGCAACTGCAACTCTTAAAGTCAAACTTGATGTCATGAAACTTTTAGAAATTCAACATTGTAAAGTTTTACAACAAGGATTTAACCGAAAGAATCTTTATTATAAAGTTTGTCCCAAAGATAGTAGTAATAAGGCGTTGGAAAATCTTGTAAAACTCGTTCAAAGTCATGGAGGTGGATCGGGTATTATTTATTGCACAGTTAAACTCAAATGTGAAAACGTTGCAAAATACCTGCAACAATCAAGAATCTCTGCCAAGTATTACCATTCAGGGTTAGACAAGGCAGATAGAATAAATGTGCAAAATGAATGGCAATCTGGCAAGCTGCAGGTTGTCGTTGCGACCACTGCCTTCGGAATGGGTAAGTTATATGTGATTTTTAAAATTTTACTAATATGATATATATATATATATATATATATATATTGCAAGAATTACATTGAATTTTTTTTTTAATATATATTTGCCAATTGTATAAAGGAATCGACAAACCCAATGTAAGGTTTGTGATTCATTACTTGCTACCACAATCTCTAGAAGGGTATTACCAAGAGACTGGCAGAGCTGGCAGAGATGGTAAACCTGCTCAATGTGTTCTATTTTATACATTTAAAGAATACATATTGATAAAAAAGATGATAAACGGCGGAGATGGAACTGAAATGCAAAAACAACAACAGCTCTTAAATTTATTTTCAATGATGAAGTATTGTGAAAATAATATCGATTGTAGAAGGCAGCAATTGTTAGGTTATTTTGCAGAAAACTTCAATCCAGCAGAATGCTAACAAACGTGCAATAATTGCCGAGAGCTTATAAATCATCAAGTTGTGGAAACAGATTATTCATATGTAGCAAAAAAGATTATCGAGTCAGTTTCAGCACATCAAAACAAGAATTTAACATTAGTACAGTTTGAAAAAATATTTTTGGGAGATAATACTAAACCAACTAAAGAATTGGTGATAAAAAATATTACCCAAACTTTCTAAAACTGTTTGTGAAAGATTATTCAAAAAACTAATTATTTATTTTTGTTAAAATTTTTTTTCTATGATAATAGGTAAATTCACGTTATTCGCACGCAAATAATAGGATAATTTTAAAAGATCTTGTATAATATTATTTATCGCTAATGATATTAACCTTATTGGATACTGATGGTGGTTGACGTTATCAATGTTATTATTAATACTTGTAGTAATTTATTTATTCTTTGATTAATATAATGAAAATAAAAAGATTTTTGCTTATAATGTTTAGTTTTTTGAATTAAATAATTTTTTCTCAAACGAGTGACAGAGTAACGAGTGATCGAGTAAAAAAAAAGGAAAGAAAGGATAGCAAAATTGAGGACTAACAGTTCATTATTATATGGATGACAAAAGTCCAATAAATGAAATGCACCCCAAAGTTTTTTTATTCCTGATTGGTAAATTTTACATAATATAAAAACAGATTGTAATGATGCTTTAGGAGACTACAAGGAGAAGGGATATTTTAATATTATTTCATTGATTTTCATTTTTTTTTTAAGGATTTGCTTTTTGATTTGTTTAAAAATGTTCGGCTTCTTCACTACCAACCAATTCACCTGATTGATTAGATTGAACATTGTTTTTTCAATACCTAGCTTCTAGCTAGGTGACATCTATATATTATATATGCATCTATCTTTATTATTCTAACCTGGAGCCAAGGTGGTTAATTGAAAAACCCAAAGTTGGTAAACCTTTATAGGTATTAGCAAACCTATTAATTCTAAATAAACGAATTCAAGCGCCCTTGGTGCAACTACTAAATTCGTGATCCGCGTAATAAAAATATTTTAGTATGAAGAAATTGCTATTAAAAAATAGTGATGTTAGCCGACAGAAAAACCTTAGCCGGCTAAGAACTTAATAAATCCCAGTTGATGAAAAACCTTTTCAGATGGTACTAAGCTTGCCGGTATTATTATTACTACCGTTATTGTTATTATAATATCTCGCCTTTTAATGATTCAAATTATTTGTTTTATTCGTTATGAATTTGAATATTCGAATTACATTGAAAGTTTTATTTAAATAAAACGAATAATACAAATAGAAGAATAATTTGAATAGAACAAACTAAATGTCCATGCCATTGAATTCTACACTAAAATTCCACACGTAAAAATGAATGTTAAGATAAACTTTTTTTAGCCGGCTAAGCTGTTTAAAATTCCTTGGCCGGCTAAGCCAATAAATTTCATAGCCGACCAACATCACTATTAAAAAATGTAATCAATACAGACTTTTACGGTGTAATAAATAATGGATAGCGGAAGTTATCAATTTAACAGCAGGTTTAATATAAATCATGCTATTCATAATTTAAAGTCGCTTTTTTAATAATTCGGCAAATTACGTGTTTAATAGCAGCAGTATACCATTTCGAGAGTTTGGGAAAGATATATATATTATTGAACTAATTTTTTCTTCAAGTTAAATGATTTTCAAGAAGATTAATTCGTAATCTAGTATTAGCAGTAGTATATACATTACGGACATTTGAAAAAGAGAAATATGTATTATTGAACTATCTTTTTTTTCAAACCAAAATTATTTCAAGAAGCAAGTTAATTTTAAACTTGGGGGAGATCACCAGTGAATGGTTTAGGACCTCAAGGAGTGGTGACTTTCATTGCGCCACCTGCGAGTAGAATTGCGGGAATAATTTTGCTGACGGTGGATTTGAGTTAGTGATATACTGTATTGTCTGGGATATAAGCAACACTCGAATATAAGCAACAGTACGAATTTGCAACAGAAAAACAGAAAAACAGAAAAATAAATATAAGCAACACCTATATTTCAGAAACATTTTTATTTGACCTCTTATTTTTTATAAAAAAATAAGAAAATTTTTGACTATCCTTTTCCAGAATCACAGGACTCTTCCCCTTCTAATTCAACAATCCATACCTTTAAGTCAGCTTTAGCCTCAGGATATTTTGCTTTTATTCCTAAACTATTACCAATTCGTCTTTTTTTTTTTGCCAACGAGAAATCATTGAATGATCAATAGTAAAATGACGCCAGTTGTCTTATACCATATTATTTTGCATATTACAAGACTTGGCGCTTTTCAGCAACAGAATATGAAGAACGTTTGACTTTTGGCATTGCTGTGGGAAAAAATGAATTAGAACTTAACACAAATGATAAGGAGACATAAACAAAATGTCTCGAATATAAGCACCACCTATAGTTTTTGTTGACTAGAACATGTTAAAATTGTGTTGCTTATATTCCAGACAATACGGTATTAATTAATATACTAACACTCTAAAGAAAGTTCTCGGGTATGCTTTACATGTAAATGCCGAGTTACGAACAACAATCAAAATTTATAATTAAAAAATGAAAAAAGTTTTTATTATTTCAAAACATTATTATTACAATTATCCATCAACTTTATCAATTCTTTCAATACCTTTTCCTTTATTATTATTATTATCAGAATCTAATGTTTATTAATTGATTAAATGGGAATAAAAAATATTTGTTAATAATAATTAATGGATAGTAATTTCTCAATTAATAATATTAATAATGAAATTTTTATTCACCTCCAACATTTAAGAGAAGAGAGTTTAAATCAAGATTGTTTACTAAACTATCATTACTTGTATAGCTTTTTAAGCTTTTTGATTTAGTAACTTCTTCATCTAATATTCTACTTGTATGATATGCATCTGGGTGTGATTTGTGTATTTGTTGCGAATCATTACCACCATCACCACCACCGCTGCTGCTGCTGCTGCTGCTGCTGTTATCATTATTAAAATCAAAATTTTTCTTATTAATTTTAGAAAATTTGAATAACTTTTTTATTAAACTGTTATTGTTACTATTATTATTTTTCATATTTTCATTATTAAGAATTCCTTCATGTTTATTTTCAGCAAATTTCTGAAGTTCTTCAATGGTTGGTCTTTTTGATGGATCCACATCCCAACACCTCTCCATCATTTGTGAATAATCATCAGGCATTCCAGGTAGTATTGATGGTCGTAAACCTTCACATATATCAAAAATTAAACAATGATTATGAGCTCTATCATCAAATGGTGGATGACCTGCAAATATCTCCCACATTAACATCCCAACACTATAAATATCAGTTTCTTTTGTGTTCTTTGTGTTAATTTTGCCTCTAAGTAGCTCAGGTGCAATATATGGTATAATTCCATATATTTTACTTGATGATTTTTCATCAACTGATCCACATAATCCTAAATCTGTAATATAACAACCACCTCCTTGCAATAATATATTACCACTATGTAAATCACAATGGATTAAATCTTTCTCATGTATCCAATATAATGCAACACAAAAATACATAAAGATTGCAATTCTGTCTTTTAATGCTAAATTTAAATGATTTTTTTGCAAATAACCCCTTAAATTTCCTTCTGGATGATAATTTAAAAGTATTGCATAATTTCCATTATCTGGGAATTTAGTTATACCATAACAAGGAACAATCATTTGTGATTTAATTTTACAAT